GTTCCAGATTACTTGTTCCTTTCAAGGGAGGGGTTCTTTTGAGAAATGTTACAGACCATCAACCATCCAACAGTTACCTTCCCTCCATTTCCAGGGAGGCTTTTATTATATAAAATTTTATCAAACATATTTTCCAAACTTTCTAGCTTTTTTACACATCCACCAAACATGACAAAATGTCCCTTCTTGTTGTTCACATTTCCAACATAAATATAAAGTGCCTTTATACATTCTAGACAATTTCTCTGGTGATATATACCAATGATACATCATTTTATAAAAATTCTCTTCAAGATTGCAACATACTGTAAATTTCAATCCTTTCCGCCACATATTTTCCCATTGTTCCATCTATTATAACCAAACATTTAGCCCACTTTATCACACATTCTTTTACTTGTTCTTCTGTTTCAAATTTCAGTAAAAGTTTATACATTTTAGCAATTAAATGTTCATCGTTTGTATACAATTCTATTTCAAACTCAGTCTTCAATGTTCAAAACCATAAATTCTTTTGTCTACTTTAAATATTTCTAATAATTTATATAAGAGAACCATTGACAACTATATCCCTCTGCCACCAGTTGTTCTTTTGATTTTATTTTACATTCCCCTTGACATAATTCTAGTATCTCACAATAAGCCATTTGTGTTTGCTTATTATTACTCATCTATAAAATGCCTCTCAGTATGGCATGTCCAACATAATAATTTTTAAAATCTACATTAACCTGAACTTTGTCATACCACAATATAGCTGGTATTGGAATACAGAGGAATATGTAAATTGGGCTCAATGGAAGAGAGTCCAGGCAGCTAACTGCAAGGGGAGAGAAGTGCTGTGTTCTGCAGCATGAACCCATTGCACAGACATGGGAGACTGAAATATGCAAGCCAGTAGTAAGATGAAGTGTGCGAAGTAAACTTTGGAGATGCCTATTTGACACATATAACCAAAAACATCCATCTGAATCCACATTTCTCTGCTTTGGTTACAATATTATGATTATGAGAGCAAAGCAAAAAGTTGGATTGTGCAGAAGAAATAGTCTTACAAAACTACAGCAAAGGATTCTCTTTAAAAGCAAAATTTTCCAGTCCAGTTAAAAATAATAATTTCTCATTTTAAAAAAATGGGTATTCTGGGCCCTCCATCTAGTCTTTGTATTCTGAACTGCCTAAAGCACAAATAAAAAGTTAAAATTCATTCTCATACATTGATGCTCTTTAACTTATTGAGCAACAAGGATTGGAAGTATCAGTAATCAGAGAAAGGTAAGGAGGCCAAGGCTCACTGTCCATATTGTATGATGCCAACCCACCCAAGATGTGAATCAAAGAGTGAAAGACTCTTCCTTTAACCTTCTAGGCGATAGGTTCAATATACTAATGGTATTTGACTAGGGGCAGTGAACTTTTTAAAGTTTATATCCTCAAACTGTGTTTGGTTTCTCTATTGATTTATGGCAGGGAACCCTAAATAAATACATAAAACAGCAGTACAATGTTCAGCATGAACAAATAGCAAATCAGATTTCAGATTAAAAGTCTGCAAGTAAAAAACAGATGATTTCCATTCCTGATCAACCCATACAGCAGGTGAGTAGCTTGAATATGAATTTTGTGCAACAAGTATTGTAAATGAGTCAATGGGGTAAGACTTACCACAGTATGTTCCTGGCTCAGTAACAGCAACTGAACAAACACAGAAAGGCATTAGAGCTTGCTAGTATGAGTGATTGTTTATGTGTGGCAGAGTAATGCTGTAGAGATACTTGGAGGTCTCAAAAGGGGTTTGAAAAAGATTGAGGGACTAGGTGGGAATTTTAGATGTATTGCTCTGTACATGTCGGGTTCAGCCCAAAGAACTCCACGAGACAGTATAGATACAGTTCTATTGCATTTATTAGCTTCCACCTACAAGACAGAATCTCGCCAGACTGAATCTAAACTTCCCAAGCCAGCAAGCAAACATTGCAAATTCCTTAGGGTGGTGCCAGTCTCATCCTCTTCACCTTCCCACGGTCATTCTGGGGGCTAAGGAAATGCTTATCTCCCCGAGTGTGGCCTTCACCATACCATTCCATCACCGTACAGTATATCCAAATCAAGGACCCTCTGTTTGATTTCCTGTACACAATACTTCTGTTAAATCCAAGTGTTATTAAGTATGGAGTAGAAAGGCCATAAAAGAAAAAGTATTTGACAATCATCACAAATAAGATTAGGTAGCAATTCACCTCAAGAAAAAGTTTTTCTCAGCAAATTTCAGGCAGCAGATTATAATTCAAGGTGCTACAGAAGACACATAATTCTAACCAAAAGAAGGTATTTAAAGTGGAGCAAGGGACTTGAAATGGACTACTAATAATGTTTGACTGAGTGGCTTCAACATGTCATAGATCAGAGTAAACATAAAACTGGGCATAAACAACAAAACATTCAGTATCTTTGTATTAAACAGTCTGATTGCAGTAGAAACTGATATGTTCCTGTTGCAGCTGGGAAATTTAATAATTGCTTAATAATTGCAGCTGTTTGAGCCTGGGCTGTGACCGTTTGAATTTGGTGTCCAGGAAATACAGATTGGAAGAAAATACCAAAATATTTGAACATCTTTACGTGCTCAATTTGAAAGCAATTAATTTCCCATTTCCTGGAGAAGATAGCAGACTGAAGACAGCTCCATGAAAAAGCAGAGCCGACTTTTGTGGACTTTTTTAAGGAGTCAATTAGTAGATCGGCCCCTACGATCCTCTCTGGATAAGAGAGAGATACGTGAGATCCCCCAAGGTGTTTCCCCTTACGATTGGCCCCCATGAAGAGACTGCAAGACTCAGGTTTCTGGAGGGAGGGGGAATTGGGAGATAGGGGAATTCTCCCTAATTGCTCAAGCTGCAGATGGAGCCTTTTCAAAGGACATTAAGTTTGTGTACTTCCCTTGCTAACTACCTCCAGAAATTGCCTATTAACTGTTTCAAAGAAGTTAGACACCTGCAAAGTGACAAGGCTGGAAATACCTGGTGAGTGTCTTTAATCCTTAAATAAGAATATGAAGATCTATTTTTATAATCCTTAAGAACTTAAAATAAACAGCAAAAAGCAAGGCAAGGTTTTGGCTATAGAGAGTTTTAAATGGGTTAAGGGCTCAGAAAACATTGACAAATTGGATTTTGAATATTAAGGCTTTGAAACGTTAAGACTTTGACATTATTTTTAAAGAATAAATGCATGCTTGTGGGAAAGAAAAATGTTTTTGAGACTGGAGACATAACAAAACACGTAATTTAAAATGGTATTCAGAGATCTTTGAGGAACTGCATTGGGATCTGCACCGGAGAGGGAAGTCAAACAAGAAACATGCACCCAATATGCCTAATAATTAAAGCAAACTACTGTGGGGATTTCTTGCTCTTGGAAAACCAAATACATTGGATGATGAATATATAACTTTGCTTTTGTTTTCTCACTGCAGAGGGCACTGCTCTGCCTATATAATTTCCTGAGTTTCATTGTTTACTACTGTTTTAGGAATTTATGCTTAATCTTGTACCATTTCAAGTCATAAAATATAATAATATGGCTTTCTCTTTTAACATCATATTTAAAAAATAGGTTGCATAAGGACATAAGAACACCAGTGGATGAAAAAAGCTAAGATTATCATCATGTTTATTTAGAAATCTCATAATACACTATATGTTAATATTTTTAAAAATGAACATGATTCCTCTCAAAGAAACATGAGAACACACAATTACATACAATTCAGAATATAAACTTTGTATTTTCCCATCCATTACATAATACAAATGCTTCCAAATTTCCAAGGCCATTCATTCCATAATCCTATGCTGTATCTTACCATCATCTTTTATATACAGAATTTAAACATAGAGACCACTGAAATTGTTTGTGGTTATAGCTTCAATAAATTGCAGGAAATTTATTGTGTTGCAGGAGTAACAGCTAAAACAATCCTTTGTTCTTGCCACAGATATGGTCTCAGTAATTTTATAACATGAAAAAAGGTCAGCAAAACAGACGATGGTTTGTATTCATGACATTTGAAGCAATATATTCCACATCAATGAAGCTAAGGTACTTCTCTATATAGTTGTCTTCTTCAATTCAATTCAAATTTCATGGTACATATTGCAAAGGCATTAATTCTAAACTTTCAATGCTTGGGCTAAGAGAGTAAGACTATTTAGGAATCCCTCTGAGTTCATGAATTAGCCACACAGCCATACTCAGCAACATCAAAGAACCTGATTGATGAGTAGCTGCTAAAGGAGTTGGGACATACAGAAGTAGTGTGCTGATACCCAGGGTGACCTGCAAAGGAGCAAAAGTATCAATGCTATATCAGATATAACCTTAATGTATACTATATACATTATACTATATAGTGTATACTATATAGTATACCTCTGTATATTATATAGACAGCAATACAAAACAACCTTATAACTAATTAGGTGTTAACTAGCTTCTGTTACTCATTCTTATACTTTTTAATAAGTAAACTTTTTTACAACTGCAATAGTAATTTACCCTGTGCTTCATGAAGTAATGCTTATATAGCTTCACCTTCTCTGGCAGTTTCTTCCCATTATGACATGGCATAGTATTATTGCAGCTCGCTCGCTCGCTCAATCATCTTTAGCTCAAAGCTATATGAAAAAAGCTGGGCTGTATAGTGTCATGGTTGCTAATAACTCTACTTTAAAATCCCTAAGTCAATCATCCAAGTTAAATCAGTTTGCTATAAGCAGGTAGGTATCTGGAAGAACGGCAGTTTATCATTCAGCTCAGAGAATACTATTTCCCTGCTAGCTGGAATTTAAATGTGTGTATTAATGAGAAATCAATACCTGAAGATATGCTACAGTCAGTAAGGAAGCAAATGCCATTCTAGTTCTACGTGGGAGTGAGATCTTCCTGGAAAGTAGATAGAGAGCTGTGATGGCTGCAACTGAGGCGATGCCCTAAAGGAAGAAAAAAACTTATTAAAACGTCTTCCAACAGCTCCACAAAAGCCTTGGAAAGGTCCCAATTTACAAAACAAGCAGTCCTGCTTTCAAAGGAAACAAATGGGTAGGAGAACAAGTATTAAGTAAACTGATCCACACCTAGTAATTTTCAAGCCCTGTCTTCTCCTATACCTTATATAGGAGGTCATGACCTCATATAGGAGGTTATAACAGGTCAACAGCAGTTCTTCAGGCTTGGGTTGTAGCCTCCTCCAGGCTCTTCTCTTATAGCCTTATTAACTCTTTCATAATTTTTTATATTCAAATCCTTCTAAAGGGTGGGTTTCCAAAGATTATAGTTGTATTTGTAATAACTTTGTTTTAAGGGATCATGCAAGCCATATAACTGAACCATAGTTTTTACTGTCTTTGCAAAGATGGTCTTTCCGAGCAACATACCTGCGATTTTTTAAACTATAGATGGCAGGACTGAAATTAGTATCTTAGGTATGTAAAAGCTAACATTCCATCCAAGCTGGTACAATTCATTCCCATAACCCCAGTTTCTCTGTCATTTAAAAAAACTAATCAGCTAAAAGAACTATTAGTTCATAGCATAAAGGCAGCGATGCATACCAGGATTCTGTGATCAAATTGCACTGTTGTGGGATTCTCAAATATGTTCTTTGTCATTGGGGAAAAAGCAAGGAGGTCATCAGGAATCCAGCGTTCTCCCATCTTAGGAAAGGAATTATATACAAGACCAGCATCCAGTCCAGCCACAAATGCTCCTACAGTTTCAGAGAAGAGAGACTGACATACCTGAAGGCAGATTTTCAATAAGACTAACTATATGAGATTTAAAGTCTTCAAGATGATAAGTTTTTATCCCTAGACTGTGTAACATTTCCCAGCTCTGTATACTGTCCTTCAGGAGAAGGCATTTAAGAACTTTTATGTCAGAGAAAGTGCAAATCTTATCATGGACATGAAGCAAGGACAATAGATGATTTTTCCTATCTCCCCCATCCCCCACCCCCAATTTAGTGCATCAGTAACAGAGACATTTACCTGAGAGGGCAGTGAGGAAGATGAGTCCTGATGTTCCATAAGCAAATCTTCTCAGGCGTAGTAGTTGGTGGATTTTAGGTAGCTGAAAAACACAAGTACTGTAAGTATATGCAGTAATCCTTTCATATATTCTACAGAAAAGATCTTACAAAAGCAACATATTTTCTAATTACATTCCCCACCTCTGCCTCCTGGCTAAGCCTGTACAGGATATACCTGCCATACCTCTTCCCCATTCCAAGTACAACTGCTATCCAGATTATGGTGCCCAATCTGTATTCAAGACACAAGCCTTTACCAATGATTTTACCCACCTCATATTGTGGTAGCAACAATGATAGCCCAGTCCACAAGCTGTAGCAGTAAAGAACAAGAGCAGATCCAAGATGTGCAGTTAGACGGTACTGACTGACCCGAGGGATATCATAAGAGTCTGGCTTTTCCTCTAATCCACTTTTGACCATATACCAGCCCAAAAGACCCTGCAAAAATAACAAAATAATTATATTGAAACAAAGTTCATTTCTTTTCTTGCTAGTATCATATATGTTACATGCAAAGGAACATCATCTGACAATTTCAAAACAGAGATCCAGTTTATTAACCATTTCATCTTTCACCACTGTTCAGGAAAGGAAGTCTTTCAACTTATAGCAAGAAGTTACACCTGGTCCAGAATGTGGCGGCACAGCCTGAGATGAGTGTGTCACAGTATATGCACATGTCCCCACTACTTCACAAGTTCCACTGGTTAGCAGCTGGCTTCCAGGTGCAATTCAAGGACCTGGTTACTACTGGTAAAACCCTTCATGGCACAGGGCCTGGCTACTTGAGAGACTGTTTGTCTCCAAATTTTTATGCCCATCTGGTGAGGTCAGGCAGAGTGGGCATGCTTTGGGTCACATCAGTTAAACAATGCCATCTTGTGCAACCCAGGAAATGTGTTTTCTCTGTTGCCTGCACTCTGGAATGACCTCCCACCAGAGATCCATACAGCTCTCACCTTAATGATTTTCAGGAAACTATTAAAAACTTGGTTGTTCTCCCAGGCCTTGGGATGGGGTGGTTGTGGAATCCCTAATTTTTTGGGGGTTTGCTACTGAGTTAGCCTTCCAGTCAGTTGTGTTTTCTTGATATGTGTTATTTTTCTCTTTTGATTGTAAGCTGACTAGAGTTATAAAGGAGTTGGGCAAGTTTCAAAACTGAATTTAAATAAATAAATAAATATCAGGAGAAAGAATAATCTTCACAGCCTGACTCCTTTCTTCTGTTACTGCATAATCATCTCAAGCACAATTATTTCAAGGTTCTGCAAGGCTACCATATATCACAGTCCTTGACTCACATACAGATCAGCACCAGCTCTCTGAATGTTCAGATATTACTACTTTTCATTGCCTGTCTCAGTTATTTTAAAAAGACCCACAATCATTTATTCCTAAATTCCAATGGCTATTCCTACCTGAAAGCAGACAAGCCCACAGAGGGTGAGGACATGACCTTTCAAGGATTGCTTCAGGTAGCCCTTTCTCCAGAAGTAGGCCGCTGGAAGGATGTAAACCAACCCCACAAGTCGCCCCCACATACGATGTGAGTACTCCATGTACCAGATGAATTTGAACTCCGAAAGTGTCATATCGTGGTTCAGGCTGTTACATTGGGGATTTTTTTTTTCAAAAATAGGGGGAAAAAACAGCAACAAAGTTTAATAATTTCTAATTTTCAGCTCAACGTCCCTCAAAAAGCAGCTGCCAAAGTCCCCCTTGCCCCTCAACTTGTCTGTTGCTGAAACAGAGCCATGCTAATGGTAGAATTCCTCTTAACTGAAATTTAGAATATAGGAACCTTAACACAAATCATACTTACATTTTAAACTCTGGAAATTGCTGGTACTTTTGGAATTCTGCCTCCCATTCCTGCTGTGTTTGAGGAGGCTTCATCTCCCGCACTAAGTGCCAGTCAACCATCGAAAGCCCAGATTCTGTCAATCTTGGAAAGAGAGCAAAGAAACCATTTATCAGGGGAGAAGTTCCTTTCAAGTTGAAATATGATAGATGTGCCTACCTAGAAAAGCAGAGTTAGAACATAACGGGACAATTTAGAAATTGATGCAGACACATAGATTGATGCAATCCAGATGGGGAAATCTATTAGTGATTAAAAAAATGCTTAAGATACGCATATATAGTTAAAAAACAATGAACGTACCTCATAGGTTTTCTAGGGGAAAAAGAAACAAGAATATTATCTTAAACTCTCGGGAGGAAGGGTGATATAAAAATGTATACATTTAGATTGCACTTACAAATGACATGCTCAGCTCAAACACTATGACACAGAACTCCTATCTTAATAAGCAAAGACATAAAAATGACACAAGTACCCAAAGGGCAGGGATTTTTTTTTTAACACTCATTAAAAGACACTTAGAGTACATAGCAAAGCTACGAGGAAGTAGCAAAAGATATTTTGTAGAAAGATCTATTGAATGTAATCCATATATTGTGAGAAAAAGATGGGGGGAGGGTTGAGGATGAGAAATTAACTCTCCCCACCTAGTTATGCCACCAAGCACCACAGCTCCAGCCACAGTACTGCTGCAAATTATGAGCCAACGTCCTATTGTTCGGTCTGTCACAGCATTGGGTACAGGTGGTACTGCTACTCTGGAATGTGAAGCTGCTTCTGAAACTGCACTGTGTTGTGTCCGTTTCTGCAGGAGCTGCCACCACCGGAGACATTGCTAAAGACAAAGAAGGTGGTGAGACATTTATTAACAATTCAAGCAACCCTTTGTGTAAATATTTGGTATGTAATATTGTCACTACTGGACTGAAGGGATTACTGTTAATAAAAAAAGTGAGAATCACAGCCATTGGGAAGATGCACTTTACAATAAGAAATTCATTAATCTTTGCTATATCACCTAAGGTGCCCTTAATGGAGAAGCTATTGTACTTTAAAAAAGCACAAGAAAAAACACATTTACAAGAGTTCTGACAGAAAAAAGGACACTAGAATGTCAATTGATATTGACTAAGGAGCTTAGTACAACTTGCTTTTAAATTTTATTGTAGAAGCTCAGTTGAGCAGCTTTCTCACAAACAGTAGCATCCACAGCAAACAATGGTGATGGTAAATTAGCAACACATGTGCAGTAATGTCATCATGCAAATATAAAACTTACACCATTGTGTCCCAACATCTGATCAAATATGTTAAGTCAGGGCATTTGTATAATGATATATGTCATCATTTGTCCCCTCTGGGGATGAACATATTCACAAGTGCCTCAAAGGAGAAAAGAAGCTGATAGCAGGGAACTACTATGTCCATCAGCCCCTCCCGGGTTCTTCCTGTTCTCTGAGCTTGCTTCTTGCAAATGCTTCATTACAAGGCACTGATGAGGTTGCCTTGCCTGGTAATGAAATCTCTGCAGGAAAAGCAAACTCAGAGAACAACAAGAGCCCAACAATTCAATCATCAGCTATATATATTCTTCACTACCTGCTTCTCCTATTATCAGCTAGCATGGGGAGCCCTTCTCCTTCACGATGACTTATATTATAAGGCAGATCAGCAAAACCATCTATTTTGGAGGTGTGGATGTTATCCTGGTTTTCTAAGCATCCTATTTCTATCACAGCCAGCCATTACAGGAATCATAAAATGTTAAGAACTGGTAAGTTTTCTTTTTTATTCCTACTCCATTTCAGCTCTGCATTGCACCTTTTTTGGATCAAAAACCTAAGACCAGGTTCTGTCTTGTTTTTGCTATCTGATAAGCTGCTTTCAGTGTTGAAGAGCAGAAAAATAAATGCTTTAAATAAATAAGGAAATCTTTATTTTTTTAGTTCGCTGAAGTGAAATTTTTTCTCGTTTTTTTTTTTTTACAACAGTGAAAACCCAGTGAGAAAGGAAGTGCAGGTCCCATCCTAAAGGATGTGTTAGAGTAAATCAAGGCTGCCTATTCTTCTGGGAAACAACAGTACACAAACTGTGACAGCAGGCAGCCCTTGCTGTGTTCTCTTGGTCTAATTACATTGAATGATATATTAAGGACCCATATGTCACCCTAATTACCACAGAAACGTGAGCCCAAGCCACTTCATAAATTATTAGTTTTACTATGGCTACCATATCTGGGTGTAAAAGACCACGAGATTACAAGACAGAGTAAGAATTGTTAGAAGGTTGGTGCATGTAGACATTTTTATATATTAAGACATGTAGATGTTTA